TTATGATGCAAATTATTTTCTATATTAACATGAATCAACCCGTAAATGTTATGGAAAAATTTCATTATTGACCAACTGAGTTTCACGAAGTGTTTTTTGTTGAAGTGTAATTGTAGGTTTTCCTAAATGTTGAATTAATTTGAATTGACATGTAATTTATGGGTTGATCTAATAAGTGGTGTTTATAATTGGTGAAGTAAAATGCTGGTTAATTTATGGGAGTTGCATTTAGTTCTTATGTTAAATGCTAGAGTTTTACCTGCGGTGTAGGTTGGATTGTTTTACCTATGGGTGTAGGGTGTAAGGTTTTTGTTATGGTTAAAAGGGCTATGGTGTTTATGGTTGAAAATGGGTTTCTTTGGTATATAGTTGGTTGCTAAGCAATGCCCCTTTCTCTCTATCTCCCTCTCATGTCTGTGGTCATGGTTGGGTTGCACTTGGCAAGTGATTAAAATGTTTGGTTTGACTGCCACCGTGGTAACAAGATTATATGTGTAAAATCATTTAAATTTTTCCTCAATTCCTTACTCCTGTACTGATTAACTATGAGTATGTGCTCCTGTCATTTCATTCCTTGTGTGACTAATTTGTTCACGCTGTGTATGAAAGAGCTTTTTATATGGATGGAAAACTCAAACTTATACTTTCCCTTCATAGATTCTAAGTGTCCCAATTAACTGTTTTCTCTGTCCTAAATATTTTATCACATAAGAATTATTTCTCTTCATAGGTTTTACATATTAAACTAACAATAAATAATTATTTTTTTGTTTGTTACTTAAGGAGGGTATTTATTTAATTTTTTTTAAACTTGCATAAACTATGTGATACTTTCTCTTACTATGAAATTGTGTTACCTATTTTAGCTAAGTAGTTTCAGTGGATTGGAGGCTTAGATGACTCCTTGAATAATGAATGATGACATCTACAGTGTTTTATAATTTAGAGTTTGATTTGTAAGATTAGTACTTTAGTGCTTTGGACTTAATTCTTTAGTTTAGGAATAATTTTCTAAAATAATAAAGTCATAATATTATACTTTTGTTGTTGTAGAATCTTATGAACATTACTTTTGTTGTTGTAGAATCCTATGAATATTAGTTTGTTTTTGCCTATTCCTTTTAAGTCTACTGTGAATTATTTTTTAGTTACATTGGTCAACTGTTGAGTTATAGTTTTTTTTTTTTGATTTTGGGATTGGTATGGCAGAATTAACTAGATTAACAAAGAGTTAAAAAATTGGTAACTCTGTTACTGATTGTTGTTGAATTTTTTATATACCCTTGCGAGTTTTTATTATTAGCATATTGTTATTGAGATGAATAATTGATATTTTTGCATTATTTGCATGTCAAATGAGCATGGTGGTGTACATTATTGTGAGCCCCTTTTGCTTTATTACCATTTTTAACGATTGTTGTAGTTCAAGTTTTTACTTTCAATTGACGATAGTTAGGACAATTCACGAATGTTGGTTTTTTTTGTAAGTACATTTTTTTTCCTTAGCCTGTATCGTTAATAAATGTAGTATCTTAATGTTGAAGTTTGAGAATTTCTTGGCCAAAAGTATTTTCATGTGTTTGAGATATTTAAGTACGAATAATTTTATGATTGTTTACAAGCAAGTTGTTTAGCTAATCCTCTTTTTAATTTTGTATTTATTTTTATATTTTATATTTATTTTTAATTTTATTGACGTGCTTGATCACATCTGTTTTGCGTTGAAAAATTTGGTATCGCGTTTAGTTATTTTGATTTTCTTTTGCTATGTTTCCTTACTGTTGAAATTTTTGGTGGTTGAATCTGGTTGCTTTTTTTGTATTATTGGTTGATACTAAGTCTCTATGTTGTCTTTGGATTGTGTAATTACCGTTACATGTTGATTAAATATTGGTGCTTTTTTTTATTCATCATAACATTGTGCTTTTAGCACGAACATTTCTTTTACTGATTCCGCAAGTTGATTTTTAAATAAATATTTTTGAGCACTATTGTTAGTTCTAATTAGGTACATAATTTCAAACATATGAATTTTATGTTTTTTTTTTAGTTTAAATTTATGACATTTTGATTATTAAGGTTAGGTTTTCTCCATCTCTCTATACAATTTGTCTTCAATAGATAATACTTTGTTGATTATGTATGCAAAATGTGGTATTTAAGGATGCGATTTAAATTTTCATCTTGTTGTGGTCATTTTCAGTGTTTGATTATTTCGAGTCCACAATCAATATTCGATTATTTGTTGAATTGCACCATGCTTTCAGGCAGGGGTTATTACTAGTATATAATAAAACAACTACCACTTTGAAATTTTATACTCCATATATTTTCCCCCTCAAATCTGTCTCTATCAAGTGCTCTTCCCCAAAATTCACTCCCTCTCTCTCCTTCCTCTCATCCGACCATTAACCCCTTTGCCTCATCTTATGCTTCTTTTTTCTCTGTTTGTGCAAACAGACCCACCACGATGGAGAGCCACAGCAACCACAGCTCCGCTCCTCTCTCACTGTCACTGTCACTCTCGAGGCATCTCCCTCTGTTTTCTCCCTCTCTCCTCCATCCCCTATTGGCGTCGCCAACAGCAGCAGTAGTAGCGACGTCTCTAGCAACGACGCCAAAATACCCACCACCGCTCTTCTCTCACTCTCCAGGTATCTCTCTCGCTCTCTCTGTGTCTCCCTTTTTCCCCTTCTTCCTCTTCCAATCATATAGCACATGAAGTGTTTGTTGAAATGCCACAGAGAAGTACTTATTATATTTAAGTCCGATTTTGATGGTGATTTCTCTCTCTCATTCTCTCGCCCTCTTCATATCTCCTAGCCCTCTCTCTGTCTTCATCACACCAATAACACACTTTGTGCACACACACACCCATTACCCACAGCACATAACAAACAAATACACACACAACACCCACAATGGACATCAAGTGTTTGTGTTAATGCCTAAGAGAAATATTGTATACTCCACAATTCTTTTTTCTTTTGATCGGTATGAATTTACTGTGTACCCAATTTTTTGTAGGTATGATGTGTTGAAATTATGTTACAATTAAATTTTGTAGAGTTTTATCGAAATTGAGGTATTGTGTGGATTTTGAATACTTTTTTTAATAACTACTTCAAGCCAGAGAATACTTTTTATTTTGAGGAAGAAGAGGTTAGGCATTTTATTGTGTAATGACCTCAATTTCTAATTTCAGCCTCATCTAATTTCAACCAACTTCAGCCTCAATTTCTAATTTCAAAGTAGAGGTTAGGCATTTTATTGTGTAATGACCTTCTCTTTCTAGATTTAACCATTGGTTGAGGGTTAGGGGATTTTATTGGAAACTTATCATTTCGAACGAAACAAGGTTTTGGTGCTTAGAATTGTTCTGGGATCCTCAGAGTAAAATTGCCTATGATGTTCACACACTGTACTGTGGATATTGACTTTATGGTCCCTTTAACTGTTTATCTTTAACTCTTTTAAAGCTAGATAACAAGTGTGTTTTACTTTTTCATAGATCCATTTCATGAAGTTAAAAGGAAACGTGATCGAAGAAAAGAGGTAAGATTGTTTTTAGAGTTGAGGATGTACCTATAAGTTGTGCAGTTTATACCGAATTAATGCATCAGTTTTGTTACTATGTTGTGTGTACCATAGTCTTTGAAAATGGACACAACTTTCCTGTTTTGAAATGGAATTAGTTACTGGACACATCAATGCTTTAATTCTCCACAGAATCTAAGATCAAGGAACCTGGCTAATCATGCATGTAGTAGAGCTGAATAGAGGAAAACAATCATGATCATAGAAGGTGATTAGTAATTTTCTTAACAAGAGAACATAGAATACCATAGTTCTGCACATACTGCTGTTGAATGATGGCAGAGAACATAGAATACCATAGTTCTGCACATACTGCTATTGAATGATGGTGTATTCTTACTGGGGCAAAGTAATGTTATGCGTAAAACAATGATGATCATAAGAGGTGGCCGGCTGATTCTCTGAACAAAAGTACATAGAATACCATACTTTTCCACATCCCACTGTTGGTTGATTACATATTCTTTGTGAGGCTAAATAATGGCACACTCTTCTGTGCAAATACCATCCCCTCCCTCCCCCTCTTTCTGTTTCAACTCAACTGAGTTTTATTTCACTTCTTTATGGGTGTATAGAGGTATTTCACGTATAGATGCTACCAGTCACAGAAAGATAAGACCCAAAAGGGCCCTTTTCCTCCACCAAACATACTCACCACATGTTCGATGAAAGTTCTGAGAGAGCTTTGTTCCTGTTCGTTCTTCAATTTGTTTGATCTCATTCTCTCTAATGATTTCGTATTTTTTTCATTTTTTTCTTATGTATTAAATTTTGAATACTGGAATGGCATTTGAGATGTGGATTTTAATAATTATTTTGATTACATTTGAAGTCATGTTCTTAGATAATCGTAAATACTTATATATGTATACGCAATTATATTCCTTTTGGTATAAACTATTTTAGATGTTGTGAACAACTTTATTTGAAGTAAGAGTTTACCTGATGGAAGTCCTTGATATTTGTTGTGAAAAGTCTGCAAGCTCTTTTTCAGAGTACATTTAGACCTTACCCATTTTCTTCTGCAGGGAATTACACAAGTAATGGTTTCCTTAAAGTGGCTTGCAATGGGGGCTTGAATCAGATGCGTGCTGCGNCGGAATTACACAACTAATGGTTTCCTTAAAGTGGCTTGCAATGGGGGCTTGAATCAGATGCGTGCTGCGATTTGTATTTGTTGTTTTTGCTCTCTTTTGTGAGGTTTTCTTATATTTACATTGACGTAGCCTGTTTGGCATTTCAGATTTGTGACATTGTCATAGTTTCTTGGCTTTTAAATCTTACTTTGGTTGTTCCAGAGCTGGATAAGAGATTCTTCTAAGCTGATCCTAGGTATAATTATTGTTAAGTAGTGACTTTCTCTCGGCCTTTATTCACTTATTCAAACCAACTTGTGGTAATCCATGTGCAGCAACTTTGAGGACATTTTTGATGCGAGACACTTCATTGATTCACTAAGAGATGAAGTTCGAATTGTCAAAAGGTTGCCAAAGAGGTTTACCAGCAGATATGGATATCAATCTCTAGAAATGCCTCCTATTAGTTGGTCAAATGACAAATACTACTTGCAAAACAGGTCTGTATGCTTCCTATTTATTTATGAAAGGGTATCTTCATCATGTAAATTTATGGCTAACGAATGACCATTGACTTAAAAGGCAATTCACAATTCTCTATGCTTGGGCAGATATTAATTGACTGATAGAAAATAAATGCTCTTACAAAGTTTTAGATGTCAATCATATGAAAGTAAAATCAGAATAAAGTTAATAATATGCTTGTGCAGATATTTTTCATCTCTCTCTCTTCCTCCACACATTCTCCATTTTCTATTATTAAAACTGCTAAATGTTTGGATCTGATGTCTTTGACTCCAATATGCAGATCCTGTCGTTTTTCAGTAAGTATAAGGTGATACACTTCAATAGAACTGATGCATGTCTAGCAAATAATGGAACTCCTCTGGATCTTCAGAAACTCAGATGCCGTGTTAATTATCTGGCTCTCAAATTCACTCCCCAGATTGAGGCTCTGGGGTTCCAATTGGTTCATGCCCTTCAAGGGAGGGGACCATTCGTAGCGTTGCATCAATTCGAGCACAATATGAGATGTGCATGGTTAGTTTTTGGGATTATTGGAGTTAGTATTTAATTGGAACTACCTATTGGAATTAGGATTATGGGATTATTGGAATTAGTATTTGAGTGTAATTAGAACTTTTTTTTGGAGTAACTGGGAATTATGTGAACTTTTTTTGGAGCTATGAGAATTATATGCTTTAATTGAGATTGGAATTAGGATTATAGGATTTTTTATTTCCTTTAATAGGCAATTTTATGGTCAAGTGGAAATTATGATTTTGTGCTCGAATTGAGTGATTGTTGTTCCATTGGTATCATTGAGGTTACCTACCTCTTTTCTTACGAGTTGTGCTTATTCAGTGTTTGATTATTTTGTGTTCAAATTTAATGTTCGATTTTTTTAGTTTTGCGTGTCTTCAGGCACAAATTATCCCTAGTATATATATATATATATTGTATAATATTTCTTTGTGCCCACCAAAATTCAAAGACAAAAACACTAGGTCAAAAGAGCTCCCTATGCTTGTGGGATTTACTTCATATTTACAGAGGAAAAAAAAAAGCATTTAATTCATGTTTAACCTAAATCACTAGACAACAACAATACGATGGGGGGTTATATTCTCCTTACAATCTTCTCAAGAAAAGCCATATTATCTATCTAGTCTAAGGTCTTTCTGTTGGAAATAATAGTTTTCAAATAAATATTTTGATATTTATTGTTTAAAATTATTAGGTATTAAATGAAAATTTGTTAAAGTATTTTTGTGATTTTTGAGAGAAATTGAAAAGGTGTGAAATATAGATGACATGAAAGGTTATTAGTTTGAAATTGGTGACTTTTGGTTAAAGACATTAATCCGAATAGTTACATTTTTTCATAAAATCATTATTAACACGTTTTGGTTAAAAGATATCATTATAAATACTCACAATTTTTCATAGTCACAATTTGTACCTCTTGAAGTAAAATGCACTATTTCTAATGGTTGTACCTTTTCATAAAATCACAATTGATTCTCTTTGAACTAAGAGGCACCATTATATATGGTTACACCATTTATGAAAAGTCATTAGTTAGTCTATAAATAAGTGATGTCTTGCACTCTCAAATAATACCATTGAACAATTGTTTCTTCTTACTAGAATTTCTCTCTCATTCTACTTCTCTACATTATCCCAATTCAGAATTTCGTATTCAGTATTTCTCTCTCTCTTTCTCTTTTTACATATTGTTGCATTAGTCTTTCTTGTTTGGTTCAAGTATAAACACAAATTTGTGTTCGCTGGAGTTTTGAAGATTGAAGTGCTACATATTTAAGAACGAAATATGTTTTAGCTATATTGGAAGACAGTTGCTTATCAACATTAAGTATCGAGAGGGAGCAAATTTGTGTTAAGGAAACTGTGATTACACATGACTCAAATTATTATTATTTTATGATTTTTTGGATTTTATTCGTGTAGTTTTGCGTCATTGTAAGTGCATTATTATTTCTGTTTTAACATTCTATTTATTAAATTAGTTCACATAGAACAGTATACTTTGTGATTTAGATTGTGATAAAGTAATTAGTTGTTAATTCTAGTTATATACATACTTTGAATAACATTTTCATGTTCTTGTAACATTGGCATTGATTTTGCCAGCTCGACTGTCATAGTAGAGGGAGCCTTTTTGTGGCTATGAAGATTGTGAAGAATCGATTGTATACATGGAGAATAACATTTTCGATTATGTCATTTTGTAACAAATTTTCGTACTACAACAATTATGGGCTTTAGTGACAAATTTTTTAGTGACAAAGTTATTTTCGTCATTAATGATACCCTTTTAGTGATAACATGTAAAGTTGTCACTAATGGTCTAGGATGAGTGACGACAACATCATTTGTCACAAAAAATTAACTTTTAGTGATAAATAATTGTTCGTCATCGTAACTTTGCCATTGGAAGTGTGAGAAATTAGATAAATAGTAATGAATTTTATTGTTGTCACTCAAAATGATAAACAATTACTTTTAGTAATGAGATTAGTCACCTCTAAAAGTTTCAAGGTTTTGGTGANTCGAAGCATTGCATAGTCCGATTGGCATGCGGCGGTAGGCAAAGGTACCATAGGGGCACATGAAGGTGGTCTTTTCTTGATCCACCAAAGCAATCTCGATCTAATTGTAGCCGGAGTATCCATCTAAAAAATAGTAGAATAGATGCCCCGCTACTNAAAAGTTTCAAGGTTTTGGTGATGACTTTAATGTCGTCACTAAAACACTAATATCTTTAGTGGTGACTTTAATGTCGTCACTACAACTTTTATAGTTTTAGTGACAATATTGGTGTTGTTATTAAAACTTTTATACTTTTAGTGATGATTATAAAGTCGCCACTAAAATTTTCATATTTTTAGTAACTAAATTAATTATGTCACTAAAAATAATTTAGTTTATGTCACTACATTGGTGAGCACTTCTTGTGATTTTTCGAGCTCAAGCCAACTGCCTATTGATGTGAATGTCTGGCTGTTACAAGACCAAAGGAAGCTTTCAGTTCTTCAGATCAAGAGGCTTTTGGTCTTTTGATGATATGGGTTGAAGTTGCTGAGGGGCCCAGTGTCTTGGAGGTGAAGGAGTTTTGTTTTATATATATATATATATATGTTTTGAAGGATTAAAGCCTTAAAATGGTGATGTAAATAGGGATGTGCCCTGGTTTGCTGCTGGTAATTCTCTTGGATTCATTCTATAAATTTTACTAATTTTTTCTTTTAAAAAAAATATTTCTAGAATGACAGGGCAATGCATATTAAATGTGTTTATCTGGTCATTTTCAGTTTATTTGTGTTCAACACTAATTTAATCTATTTATTGTTTGTGTTAGTAGGTCATGTCTTTTTTCAAATTCGTGTAAAGAATTAGTCAACCAGAATCATTAATTATGTGTTGATCCAAAATTAACATTCTTAACAAATGTTCAATTTCATTAATGTTGAATATAACAATAAGTTGACTCAACAAACAAGTGACTAACCATTGATGAATCAACTTAAAAAATTCCGAAACTGTATAAGAAGTAAATTGAAACCCCAAAGCGAATGAAATTTGTGTAACCACTTTCTCCATCTCTTTGGTTTTTTATTCTAAATTGAAGTACACTAGTTTAATTCATGGGTTTTTTTGGGCAAGTTAAAAAAAAAAAAATCACTGATAGTTAATCGACTCAAATTTTTTTCTCTCTGTTTTCGAATCTTCACTGACACCCCTTATCAGTGTGTCGAATGACGGTGATAACATAAATGTCTTTTACCTTTATATCCCTATGCTTGAAATTGATTTACAAGAATCTCCAATCGTTAAATATATCCAACGAACAAAAATAAATTCTACAATTTTAAAATTTTAATTTTTTGTTAATCTTTTCATCAAATATGCAAAAATTAACAAATAATATATAAATATATATATATATATATATATATATATATATATATTTATATTTATATAATAAAGTAGCTAGAAATGTTTGTCTTGAGTTTTTCGCGGCTCAGATTACTTGACGATTCTTGATCCGGCGGTCCTCATCATAGATTTTTCTAACACTCCTATCTCTCATTTAACTCTCTTCCCTTATCTCATACTAACTAATATAAAAGACTCCTATATCTCATCTAATTCTATCTCTTTATCACATCCTATAATTGTCTTTGTTACTTCCTGCCTCATCCATTTTTAAAAATATTCTATCTGCCTCTACCGAGACTCCTCATCTAACTCTCTCTCATTTTTAAAAACAAATAACCTACCTATCCCGTATCTCAATTGCTATCTCACGACACCCTTCCCTCTCCCCTTCCTCTCTTTCTCTACCTTACCCTTGCCCTTGCAACACACACCACACCAGAGTAACACCCACTGCAACACATACCACACCGAAGTAACACCCACTGCAACACAACGCCATAAGTCCAGGTATTCTGGGTCTTTTTCTTCAATTCTCTCCCCCTCTTTCTTCTCTGTTTTCTGGGTTTTTTGTGTGTCTGTGCACCTGTGTTCATGTGTGTGTGTGTGCCTTTGTGTTCATTTTCTGCCTCCTGTGAATTGTGGTTTTGTGAGATCGTAATCTCTGTGTGTGTAATTGCTTTCTTTTCTACTTAATCTTGACTAGCTATAAATAATAGGGAAGTTTAAGCTACAATACATGGAATCAAACTTTGTGTTCAATTTCTCTCTGCTCTCTCTATTCTTTCAATTGTCTTTGGTTTTGTGAAAGGAAAGAATATGATTTTCCTGGTCAGACGCGAGACCCTCTTGAGGAAGTATGTCAACTTCATTCTTGAAATGTCTTTCTTGGATTTTTTGAACATATTGAATTGTTATAAGGTGTCTTTTTGGGGATTATTTGAGTAATGAGTTTGTAACAATTCTGATTTTTCAGATGGACCCATTGAGGATTTTCTATGAAACTTTGTATGATCAAGTTCCTAATAGCAATATGGCTACTTTTTGGCAAGAAATTCTTCTATTGCCCTTCTCCAACAAAGAAAGGGTTTTTTCATATATGCTTGAACTGTGAATGATATGGTATTTGTAATGTTGATTTTTGTATTCTCTTTGTGTTCTCCTCCCCAATCTTGCTCACTCTCTGGTGTCAAACTCTGGCGACCCACATAATCCAGCAATCAGCAACTTTGGCAAGACCTCTTAAGGTAGGTCTGTCTCCCATCTTTTTTCTTCTCTTTCTCTTCTTTGTAACATACACAAACAACACACACGCACACAGCACACAACAAACAAGCACATACTCACACGTCACATAGACACCACGCTTGCAGCACATAGAGACCACACAATACACACAACGCACACATACAACACAGATTCACTCACACACACAGATTCACACACGCAAACAATTGGATATTGGGGCAACACACAACACAAACTCTTCACAGATTCCATTGGAGAGTATGAGACGTATAGGGACAGTGGCTATGTGAGTGCTTCAAATTTTGAATTTCCAACCTATTTATTTGCAATTGTGGCTTTTCAATTCTGTTTGATTTTTATTTATTT